TGTGGTGAGGTGGACGCGCAGTGGAGGATGTGGTGAGGTGGACGTAATGTGGGGAGTGTGGTGAGGTGTGTGGGGAGTGTGGTGAGGTGGACGCGCTGTGGGGAGTGTGGTGCGGGTAGGTGGACGCAATGTGGAAAATGTGGTGAGGTGGACGCGCTGTGGGGAGTGTGGTGAGGTGGACGCAATGTGGAAAATGTGGTGAGGTGGACGCGCTGGGTATGGGGAGTGTGGTGAGGTGGACGTAATGTGGAGAGTGTGGTGAGGGTAGGTGGACGCGCTGGGTATGGGGAGTGTGGTGAGGTGGACGCGCTGGGTATGGGGAGTGTGGTGAGTGGGACGCACTGTGGGGAGTGTGGTGAGGTGGACGCGCTGTGGATGTGGTGAGGTGGACGCGCTGTGGATGTGGTGAGGTGGAGTATGGTGCGGTTATGGAGGCACTAAAACGCGAGAGGACTGGGTATGGTGACTGCTATGAAAAGTAGTTATATTTAGCTTTACGAAACAAAGTAGAATGAAGCTATAACAATGCTGCTGGATGTTCAGAACAATTGCTAGTATCCCCATCACACTTTTTCGACGATCTCCATTCTTCCCATTCATTCCGTTTTTCAAATGCATACCTTATACCTCTCTTTTTCTCTCTTTCTGTCATTCTGCCTCTATATTCTCGCTCTTCTCTCTCTCTCTCTCTCTCTCACTATCTATCTATCTATTTGCCTGTCTCTGTATATCTATCTATCTATCTCTATCTACCTACCTACCTATCTATCTATCTATCTATCCTATCTATTATCTATCTATCTATCTATCTATCTATCTATCTATCTATCTATCTATCTATCTATCTATCTATCTATCTCTCTCTCTCTCTCTCTCTCTCTCTCTCTCTCTCTCTCTCTCTCTATAATATATTATATATATATATATATATATATATATATATATATATATATATATATATACTTATCAATCTATCTATCTCTCACGCTGTGTGTTCCCTTTCTGTAAAAGCCATGTATTGATGCAACCCTCCTTTCTCCACTTCCTCATATCACTTGTTAAATAAATGATTTCCAGTTATCGTTAGACTTTCGTTAGAGGGCCACAGGGAGCGTCCTGGGAGTCTAACGAAGGGGGAGTAGCAGCCCTCACTCCAAGATCACTTCTGTGCAAGTTAAGCAATGGCAGAAATAACACACCTTGACAATGTTCTTTGAACCCTGAGCTCACAACTTACCATATTCTTGTAGGGGCTCACTTCTCGGGCACTCTGTCCCCTCTCCGCTTTCCTCTCTATCTCTTTTTTCTCTTTCTCGTTCTCTCTCTCTCTCTTTCTCTCGGTCTTCATCTCTCTCTCTCTCTCAAAATCTAAAAAAATCTTTAAAATCTCTCCCTCCTTCCCTCCCTCTCTCATTCTCTCTCTCTCTTTCTCTCTCCCTCCCTCCTTCTCTCTCTCTAATCCCCTCTCTCTAAATATACATTTTTTCCTCTCTCTCTATCTCCGTCTGTGTCTGTTTTATTCCGTGCTCCCACCCACTCTTCTCCCTCCCTCCTCCCCTCCTACACTCGTCAAAAAAGTAGTCAATGGCTTAAAAAACACCCACACCTCTTACATTGACAAGTTCAGAGGCAGAGCCGCCGCTTGAGTAATCCCCTCTCTCACCCTCCCTCTCTCCCTCTCTCACTCTTCCCCTCTCACGATTTCGGTCTCTTTCTCTCTCTCTCTGCCCCTATTGCATTCCCTCTCCCTCTCTCCCTCTGTCTCTCTACTTCTCTCACCATCACCTCTTGCCCTCTCCTTCCTCTCTCTCTCTACTTCACCCTCTCTCTTTCCTCTCTCCCTCTCCTCTCTTTTCCTCTCCCTTACCTACACTCTCCATACTTCTCCCTCCCTCTTCCTCTCACTCACCCACTCACCCTCTCGTTTCTGTCTGTCTGTCTCTCTTTCTCTCTCTTTTTCTCTCTCTCTCAATCTCTTTCACTCTCTCTCTCTCTTTCTCTCTTTCCCTCTTTTCCTCTCCCACTCTCTTTACCTCTCCCTCTATCTCTCTTCCACCCTCCTTCTCCCTTTACCCCCCCCTCCTGTCTCTCTCTCTCTCTCTGCCTGTCTGTCTGTCTGTCTGTCTCTCTCTCCCCCTCTCTCTCTTCTCCCCCCTCTCTCTCTCTCTCTCTTATTCTCTCTCTCCCCCTCTTTCCTCTCCGCTCAGCCCCGTTACGCAAGGAGGTATCGGTATCCGCCCACCATTCCAGGGCTTCGAGGATTAGACGGCCCTTGAGCCCTTTGGAAGCCGCAGATGGCCACGACCCCCCCTCCCCCTTCTCTCTCTCTCTCTCTCTCTCCTCTTCCTCTCGCTTTCTCCTCTCTCTCTCTCTCTCCTCTCTCTCGCTTTCCTCGCTCTCTCTCTCCTCTCGGATCTTTCCTCTCTCTCTCTCTCTCGCTTCCTCGCTCTCTCTCTCTCCTCTCTTTCTCCTCTCCTCTCCCTCTCTCTCTCTCTCTCTCTCCTCTCGTCTCTCCTCTCTCTCTCTCCTCCGTCTCATCCCCCCATCGCCGTTCACGCTCCTCCCCAGGGTTCTTCCTATCCTTCGAATCCTCTTCTCTTCATCTCTCTCTCTCTCTCATTCTCGCTCGCACGTCGCCATCGCGTCTCGCCCCCTAGCTAGCTCTTCTCTCTCTCTCTCTACCTCCTCTCTTTCTCCTTCTTTCTCTCTCTCTCGTTCTCTCTTTACTCTCTCTATCTCTCCTCCCTTCTCCTCGCCGCTCCGTCTTCTCTCCTCACTCCTCCTCCTCCGTCTGCTCGCTCTCTCCTCCTCTCCTCGCCCTCTCTCCTCTCTCTCTCTCCTTCTCTCTCTCTCTCTCTCTCTCCTCTCCCCTCTCTTCCCCCTCTACTCCCTCTCCTCATCCATCTTCCTCCTCACTCCTCCTCTCCCTCCCTTCCTCTCATCTCTCTCTCTCTCGCTTTCCTCTCTCTCTCTCGCTTTCCTCTCTCTCTTCCCTCTCCCTCGGCTTTCCCTCTCTCTTCTCTAGCTTTCCTCATTCTCTCTTCGCTTTCCTCATCTTCTCTCTCGCTTTCCCTCTTCTCTCATCCCGCTTCCCCCTCTCTCTCTCTCTCCCAGCTTTCCCTCTTCTCTCCTCGTCGCTTCCCCTCTCTCCTCTCCCCCCTCGCTTTCCCCCTCTCCTCTCTCTCTCTCTCGCTTCCCTCTCTCTCTCGCTTTCCCCCCTCTCTCTCTCTTCTCTCTGGCTTTCCTATCTCTCTCTCTCGCTTTCCCCTCTCTCTCGCGCTTTCCTCTCCTCTTCTCTTCNTCATTATTATAATCATCATAATTATTATCTTAATTATCATTTTAGTATTTATTTTATCATTGTTGTCAATATCAATATTATCATTGTTATGATATGAGTAATAATAACAAGAAATAATAATAATAATAATAATAGAAATAACAAAAATAATGATAATAATATCAATATTGATGATAAGAATAATTATCAAATAATGAAAATATCGATGATTATAACAATGATAATGATAATAATAATAATAAGAATAAGAATAATGATAATAATAATGATAATAATGAAAATAATGTTGATAGTAATAATGTTGATGATAATAGTTATGTTTAGGGTTAATATTGTTATTATTGTTATTGTTGTTATCATGGTGATCATTTTGTTGTTGTTTTTATATCTTTTATTAATATTGCCATTTCTGTTATCATTATTATCATTATATCTATTATCATCATTATCATTATCCTCTATATCATTGTTATATTTATTACTATGATCATAGTAATCATTACTATTATCAGCGCTATTATCATTATCATTATTTATATTACAATTATTATTATGCTTTGTTTTAATAACACCATGGTTATTATCATCATTGATTATTATTATTGCTATCATTATCATTACTGTCATTATCATTATAAGAATCGTTATTTTATTAATATATCGTTGGATCTTGCCATACAACATAATCAATTATCACTTTTTCTTTCACATTGAAAATCTAATCATAATTACTTTTATCAGGTTTCGACATCAATATAATCAATGACCTTTTTAGAATATATGTTTCGTAAATATCATCTGTATCATTTTTAAGCTGTGATTTCAATTATCTTCATCTCTTCTTTGATAAGTGAATTTGTATTTTCTGTATAAATATAGCTCTCGTATTTTCTTTATGTAACATTATTGTCACATTGGTGTATTACAGTCTCGATATATCCTCTTATCAGGCAGATTGTTCTATGATAATGATTGATAACAGCTGTTATCTTTTAGATTCTTATTTCCGATTTCTGTTATCAGCTGATTTCGTGTTTTGTATTTTCATTTTAGTCGTTTGTTCAACCTTTATCGTTTTTATATTTATCTGTTTATATATTCATTATTGATGTATTATCATCTATTATTATAACAATAATAATTATTATATTATCACTATTATTATTATTATATATTATTATTATCGTTACTATTGTTATCATCATTGTCATTATCATTATCATTATTATTATTATCATTATCATTATTATTATTATTATTATCATTATTATTATCATTATTATTGTTATATTATTATTCATTACTGTCATTATGAATATCATCATTATTCTTATTTTGCAATGTCGGTTTTCGTTTTTTTTTTTCTTTTTTTTATGATTTTTTATAAATAATTTAATGTTATTTTGTGGTTAAACACTATTTTCGTTATATCTGATTCATCATATTTTTGCCTTAATGTTTTGATAAACAAAGTTACTGAAGTTTTGTTATTATCTTTCTTTATACTTTTTTCCTACTGTAGTTGTTTGAAAAAAACTAATGATTTTATTAGTGTGCATTAATTGTCTGTATAAATGGCAATTCTAGTTTAAACTGTGAATTTCCATGGAATATTTCTCAGCCTTGGCTTCGCTTGCTTCTAAATGGCAGTGTCGCCAGTATCAAAATCAGAGTAGACAGGGGTATATAAAACGATGGATGCAAGAGGATCACAAAACATATAATTTCTAATGGCACAAAAGTATTTACAGTCTGTATAAGTTCAGAGAAAATACATAGGTACAATCTGCTTGACGTATACAATAATAATAATATTATGAATAATTAAAAGTAGTCAGAATAAAATAGCCGAGAGGAGCCTTTTCTGGCGCTCTCGAGTCCCGGGCATTAAGTCCGTCCGCCGTCGTGTGAATATCACACTCGTCACGGGCCGCCCACGTCACTTGGGCGCGTTTCGCACGCCCACTTCACAGCCACTCTCACTTTTGCACGCATTCACACACCGGAGGGGAGAAGGTGTCCGCCGCGGCCGCGTCCTCAGCGCGACCCGTCCGAGTCCGTTTCCGATCGCGGTCGCCGCACGAACATGTACTTGAGGGTCGCCACCTCGCTCGCCAGCCGCTCCAGCTCGGATCTGAGGTGCGTGTTCTCGTACTCCAGGCTGTCTTCGGGGTCCCCGTGCTGCTGCTGCTGCTGTGGGGGGGACGACTGCTGCTGCTGTGGGTGCTGCTGGTGATGGTGGTGGGAGTGGTGGTGGTGGTGCTGTTGCTGCTGCTGCTGGTAGTGCTGCATGGGCAGGCTCGGCTGTGTTCTGCTGTTGGAGATGGGCGAGGAGCTGGTGTCCGACGTCCGGTGGTAGTCGGAGCACGGCGAGGAGGAGGAGTAGCTGATGCCGGAGTCGCGCTCGTCCGAGGAGCCCACGGAGTCCTCGGCGGCCTCGTGGTGGGCGTCATGTGGCTCCGTCTTGATGCCATGCAGCGCCAGGAGCGACTGCGCGGCGTCCTTGTCGCCGAGGTGGCTCTTGTGGCGCAGCTTGTGCGGCAGCGACGAGCCGGCCTCACTGACGGGCGAGCGGCGCGACAGCTCGACGTCGCTGGGCGAGTAGTCCATGTGAGACGACGGCGAGTGCGACGACGACGACGTGGACGTGCGGGCGGACAGGTTGAGGGCGTTCTGGCTGTGGTAGAGGTCGCTCGCTGACGTCGGGGGTACTGCTGCGAGGGCGCGTCGTAGGGAGCCTCGTGGTCGTCCATCTGGGCGGGCGGGGCGTAGTGGGAGTACTGCGAGGGGGACTCCGGGTCCTGGAAGTGGGCGTTGGGGGAGGGGCTGGAGGCGCAGCTGCCGTTGGGCTGAGGAGCGACGTGACGGAGGGGGGGCTGCCCAGGGTGATGAGCGCCTGCGAGAACTTGGTCCGCTTGTTGAGGATCTGCTCCGTCTGTGGCATGTTGGCGATGACCTGGTCCATGTTGATGAGCGTCTCGCCCAGATGCCGTACTTGTCCTTGATGGCGTTGAGCTGCGCCTTGAGCACGTGGTTCTCCTTGGAGAGCTCAACGACGCGCTGCTCGAGGATCATGTCGTTGAAGCGCCTCTTCTCGCGGGACCGCTTGGCCGCCTCGTTGTTGCGGCGCCGCCGGTCCCAGTAGGACTCGTCCTTCTTGTTCTCGGGGATGAATTCGCGCTGCTTGCGCTGTGTGAAGATCTCCTTCTTGCGCAACTGCGCGGCGAGCTCCAGTGTGGAGGGAATGCTCAGGCCGGGCGCTCCCAGGCCTACAGGCGTGTCCTGCCCGCCCTGCATGCCCTGCGCCTGTTGCGCCTGCTGCTGAGCCTGCTGCTGGGCAGCCTGTTGCTGCTGTTGCTGCTGCTGAGGCTGCTGCAGCTGTGAAGAGGCCTTGGAGTCCATGATGTGCTGGGCGAGTAGTTGGCCGCGTGCAGCAGCGAGGACGAGCACGTGTTAAGCCGAGGCCCGCCACGGAGGGCGACAGCGGGATGAGGGCCGGGTAGTTCACCGGTACTTCACCGTCTCAGCAACCATAATTTGATGCTGGAGAACATCTGTGGAACAAAGAGAGAGCGCGTTAGTGGCGGCGACACTAAGGATTTGTGCCTAAACACGTATCTTAAAATAGTAACTGCGCTTATGATCTACTGATACCTAAAAGAGTTCACAGTGTAAATTTCCTACAGTTTCACCCTAAAGGCCCCAGAGGATGGTGCTGGCGGGGCCTGATAGCGAGAGATAATGTTACGTAACAGCAGGGTAGTTGACGAAGGGGCATGAGAGGCAAGAAGAGATAGGAGGACGAATAGGATAGGAGAAAGGAAAGGAGGGAGGAAGAGGGAGCAACAGGAGGAGGGGGAAGAGTACGAGCGGAGGAGTGGGGCTGGTTATAAAAGTCTTTGTTGTACCTGCTGAGCACTTTCATCCCTCCAACCTTCCACCCCCTTAAGGTATGACAGCTACCCCGTCTGGTTTCAAGCGTTGGAAGCATAAAACAGAAAAAAGTGTCCGATCAGAGGACACCAACACCGAGAGACGCGACGCAACACCACTGCAAGAATGCACCCGACGGACTACACTTCCGGTAGGGGTTACCGGTTACATGATGCGTTCGTCTGTGCGTTGGTGGCCGTGTGTGCGTCGTTTCTGTGTGCGTGTGGATCTGTGTGCGTGTTGGATCTGTGTGCGTGTGGGTTGTATGTGCGTGTGGATCTGTGTACGTGTGGGATCTGTGCACGTGTGGGATCTGTGCGTGGGATTCTTGTAAGTGTGTACGTGCATAGGTGGAGGTTGTCTGTGTACAAGTGTCTGTGCATGCTGCGTTGTGTTTATTTAATCTTGCATTTGTGTTTTATGTTTATATATCTTTGCAAGTTTCTATGTATTTTGGGAGTGATGGTTTCCGTTCCTTCATGCGTGTCTGCGTGCACCGTCTGTGTATGTGCGCATGAACTGGTGTATACGCGTGTGCGTGCGTGCGTACGTGAATGTATCTGGGGACGCCGACCCTTGTGAGGCCCTGCAACGGGTGTGCACGACTGCAACATTGCCTGCATTGCAACCCATGCGAAGGTGAGAAGAGAAAACAGATACTTCAAGAACCAGAAAGACGTGGAAGGAAAAGAGAAAGATGAAGAAATAGATAAAGAAGAAGAACAGATTAAGATCAAGACTTGGCAACAATAAGCAAAACAATCCACTCTAAGATAGTTGTCCATAAATCATAAACGTTCCCGAATCTTCCTTCCTCCTTACGTAACGAAGATACGACTTTAACAAACAACATGAAACGAAGACTAACGAAGCGTATAACGACGGCATTAATTGTCTGACGTCACCACAACAGATGTCACGTGACCTAATCCGAAAGGGGAGGATGACGGATAGCTAATTAACACGTCTGGAAAAGGTCATGTGGCTGTGCATGACCTGTTGCTAAGGTAACAGGCAGGGGAAGAGAGGGAGGGGCTGCTTTAGGGTGAGAGAGGACCATCGCTTCCTCTCCCTTGTCCCCTCTCCTCCTCTTCCTCTTCTTCTCATTCTCCCTTTCCATACCCCTCTCCTTTCCTTGGCTTCCCTTGGTCCTGCATTGCCCCCACCCCTTCCCTCTCCCTCTCCCTCCTTTCTTCCCCCTCTCTTTCTCCCGCTTCCCACCGACGCAAGCACAGCCACTGCCAGATATACATTCCCAATCTAATTTATCCCCCCTTCTCCTTCACCGCCCCCCCTCCCCACCATCCCTTCCTCTTCTTTGGCTCATGAAGACAGTGACGTCAGTGCCTGTAGCACCAACTCCAAGCACAGGCAAGCACACACACGCACACACATACACTCACCCGCCCAACACCCACGCCCTCTGCTTGGGTACGAATGTGTTCGGACTGCCAGACGGGTGTCGGGGCAGGCCAAAGCAACTCGTCTTATTTTCGTGTTTTTCTTCCTGTCCAATGCTTTTTAAAACAGCACTGATCTTTCGGCAACAAGCTTGAATCCTTCTTGGTGACTCATTCTCCTGATAACTTCGATTAACCAGGTTTATTTAAGGATTTTTGGCATCGTCATGGAGCGAGAGAGCGTCAGTTCTAAGAATAAAAAATTGTGTTTTTTTTCCCTCAAGAGATTCCGTACTTTCCGGGGTCGAAGACAAGGCCATTGCAAGCCAGTCGGAAACGTGGCATCCATTCGAAGGTTACCTAACGTTCACCCAAGTTTCTAATTATACAACTGTGTCAAAATAAAACTGGAATCAACTAGATAAACCACAATAAAAAAATATGTATATCTATAAATGCACTCGATGCTTTTCCCTTCTAGAGAGGCAGGTGCATAAATAAACAAATAAATAGATAAACAAATGAATAACGAGGAGACGAAAGGACTAACTTACATTTACTCGGTTTCCCGTTTCCCGTCGTCCGAAAATGCAAGTGAAAAGCCTTCGTCCTCCAGAAACTTCATCAGGGCAAGACTTCAGTCGAGCAAAACCATAATCCCACCAAACCAGACTTCAGTACAGTAGATAAAGAGTTGAGTCAAGGACTTCAGTCAACATGGACTCCGTTCAGCCAAGATTTCCAGTGAAACTTCAGTCAAGAGAGCGTAGGTGCGTGCCCGTGCGTGTGTTGCCTTCCCTTCTCGACTGCGCCGTCTACTACACTGCCGTACTAACTTCCCCGGCAGCGACGACCTCTAAAAGGGGGTGTGGGGGGTGATGTGGTGGGGGGAGGGGGTCGATGGCGTTAGTTGCTGTCCTCAGCACGCCACAACTTTGTTTTGTAACTTCCCATGCCAGCACGCCCGTCTGCGTTACTTTATTGCTTTACTTTCTACTTTTCGCTTCGTTGTGGGAAACTTTTTCTTGGCATTAGGGCGGATAAGGAGGGGGAGGTCTCCTACTTAAATAACGTATGGAAGACAACACGAGAACCAAAGATGATAAATAATGGCAAATGAAAAGACTGACGTGTATCGTTATTATTGCTATGTACCTCACTCTTCTATCCATCTTTTTCCTCCTTTTTTTTATATAAAGGAACGCAGTATGCACCACGGCGGCGCCCAATAGCAAAGACAAGCGTCCGAAGCAATATGAGAATCCTTGAAGCAAAGGACAAAATGGAGCGAGAGCGATGATGCAACACGAGAGTTCGGACGAGTGCGCATGTACCCGACTTCGGCTTCGCCTCCGCTACCCTCTCTCCCTTACCCCTTCTCGATTGCATAATACCCATTCATTACACAATGTAAATGAAGCAACACAGGACGAGGGAGAAAGGGAGATTAGTCTCTCTTTCTCTTATTCTCTTTCTCCCTTCTTTACCCTAAAGCCATTCTATAAACTTATTTTCCAATCACATTATATCAAGAAAGATTAAATCAAGAAAGTCTCATCTACTTCCCTTCCACCTCCCTAATCCCCCCTTCCCCCTTCCCCTTCCCCTCTTCCCTTACCCATACCACCCTTACCCCAACACGCAAAAAGAGTGAAATTGCTGTCTCTTGATCGCAAAGATTCCACACAGCGTTGCGAGTGCCATGACGTCGGAAGAAGAGAGAGAGGAGAGAGAGAGAGAGAGAGAGAGAGAGAGAGAGAGAGAGAGAGAGAGAGAGAGAGAGAAGAGAGAGAGAGAGAGAGAGAGAGAGAGAGAGAGAGAGAGAAGAGCTTTTGCGTGGGACTCAGATCAATCTCGACTCCAGCCCAGACTTTGGAAAAGATAGAAAACGTGTTTGCGACTTGTTTGTGCAGCTCGCTCTTCCTTTGAATTTCAAATAGGGGGGTAGGGGGTAGGTAGGGAGGGGATGGAGGAAGGGGGTAGGGAAAGAGGGTGGGGGATGGGGGGCGGATGAAGGGGGGGGGAGTGAGGCTGGAAGGGAATGGAAAGCGAGCGAAGAAAACTGGAAAGAGATGGGGGGAGGTGGAGGGAGGCGAGGGGGTGAAGAGGAGGGGGAGGGAGGTAGGAGGAGGATGTTGTATAAAGGAAGATAAAGCCGGGCTGGTCACGTGACACCCAGCTCACGTGAGATGCCAATATCGACTGTCTCTTGTCTCCATGTGAAAGCGCTCGTGGGTGGGGGAAGGGGGGGCGAGAGGAGGGGAGGTAGGAAGAGAGGAGAGAAAGCGATGGAAGAGGGATAGATGTGTGAGAGTGAGAGAGAGAGAGAGAGAGAGAGAGAGAGAGAGAGAGAGAGAGAGAGAGAGAGAAGAGAAGAGAGAGAGAGAGAGAGAGAGAGAGAGAGAGAGAGAGAAGGAGAGACGAGAAAGAAAGAGAGAGAAGGAGAACGATAAAAAAATACAAGAATCAAAGTAAAAAAAAAAAGACCCAAAAAAGAGAAAAAAAGACTTACTCAAACCTCCCACCCTACCCTACAAAATAATAATAGAAAAAAAAACAAAACAAAAACAGAGAACCGCCCCCCCCCCCCATCCTGAATAGCGATGCTCCCCTAGCCCAGATTGCTTTCAAACAGCCACACAAAGTCGACAGCGCTTTGAATCAAACAGCCCGACGTTGCACCATAAGCGGCTGTATAAGCGCCCGACCTACATTGAATCAGGCAAAGGTTATCGGTCAGAAGAGGAGGTGGTGGAGGAGGTGGAGAATGTGGAGGTGGAGGAGTGGAGGTGGTGGAGGTGGAGGTGGAGAAAGTGGCGGTGGAGGTAGAGGAGGAGAAGAGATAAAGGTGGAAAAGAGAAGAGAGCGACGATGGGGGAAGACGAAAATGAGGGGAAAAGGATAAGAAGGAGAAAGAAGAAGTCGAAGAAGAAGAGAACAAGAGGAGGCGAAAATGAGGATGAGGACGAACCAAGCCGAAGCCAGACGCCCTCCTACGGAATGGGACAAGGGTGTCGCACCTTGGCCTTACGCAACACAACGAACAGATGTTACTAAAGAGATCTGAACTTGTAAGATCTTCACTCAACCAAGCCGGTCGCGCACGTGACGAGGAGACAGAGAAGAACAGAAGAAATGATGTATAAAGAAAACTCAAAAAGAGAAACGACATACTAAACGAAAGAACACGAAAAGGAGAACAAAAAACACGACGATAACTCCCAAAAAATCGAGGGAGGAGAAATCAAGAAGATGGAAAAGCGGAGAAAAAAAGTGAAGATTATGAAAGCCCTTCGTAAAAGGAGATGAAAAGATATTACGCCAACAAACTCCTGCATCACGTAGCTATGTCAGGTAACTTAGTTATGCAACGATATATATATAACCTTTGCCGTACGGACAGAAAATATATAATCAGTTTCGTTTTGCTTGACGTGTTGTATTATTCATCTATGTTGTTATTGATGTTATTCATTATGATGTTATTATTCTAATGACTATATAATTGATAACATAATCACCGTCATTCATACAAATAATAATGTTACCATCTATTTATCGTTATTATCGTTATCATCATCATCACTCCTCT